TTTGTCCTTGCCAACTCCTCCCTCTCGATGTTTCTGTTTATAACAAACAAAAGGCCAAGATAAATTTTCTATAATAAGATGTAAAAGAGGTTATACAAAATAATTTTTAATAATTTTTGAAATAATAAAAAGCTTAAAAATCACAGAAATTTAAGCTAAGTAAGTCAGTTTCCTTTTTATAAGTTTTTATGGTATTTATTACATATATTTTGAATAAATATAAACTATCTAGAGTTTTTATCCCTATTGTACAGTACGTTTATTATAAATTTTACCACTATATTTAAAACAGCTATACTTTCTATGCCTAGTAAGCCTTACTATAATGAATTTTGAGAATTTGTACAGCATAAACTACTTGGTAATAGGGCCATATTTATTAAAATTTTACTGTAATTACGCCTATTTTATATGTTGAAAAATGATATATTAGAAAGGGCACTTAGCTTTTAATAGTGAACAATGTCAGAATATGGTTTAATCATCTTAAAAATGGAAACGTAACTATGGATAAGCCTAGAAATCGTAGACCTTCAACAAGTGTAACAGATGAAAATCGTTAAAAATTGATGGCATGATTCAAAATAACAGACGTTTGAAGATCAGGAAAATCTCAGAAATATTGGTAATATCCATTGGACACATTTCTTCAAATGTCAATCACCCAGGATATTGAAAAATAGTGTCTCACCAGACTCTAGAGAAGATTGCCAATTATGTATGAAAATTGATGCAGCATCCCTCTTTTTTTTATTTAGTCACTCGAAGAGGCATTTACGAGGTCTTTCAATCAGAACAGTGATTTAACTTCAGCTTAAGAAAACTAAAAAATTTGTGCAAGTCACTGGAACTCTCTATTTATAGAATGGCCTTCACATTATGAAAAGAACAGTGGATAAAATGTGTAAATGAAGATGAAGGGTACATAGAGTAGTTTCATTCTGTAAATATATCTTTGTTCTTCATTTTAGAAGAAATTAAAGATTTTTGTCTTATTATTTTATCATGAAACGAACCGCCTTTGTAGCGTAAATACGCATATCTGTATATTATATAATAATTATATACGTTTATATTTATCTAACTTAGTAACTTAAGATCAAAAATGAGTAAAAAATTATTTATTGTGACATCGTCACAATGATGTATTGCAATTTCAATCATATTTTTAATTAATTTAATTTAAATATAGGCCTATCTTTCCACCTCAAATTAGTAGTGGCTTGCCCTGTACATCATACTTTTCCTTTAAAAACAGAGTCGTGCAGGTCATCTAACACCTTTTGGGGAAAATATTTAAATTAAAATAACATGACATTCGATTTGTATTGGAAGTTTATATAGTTAGTTGGGGCCTTCTGCTCCAAAACTTTCGAAATCTGGTGTCGTCTTTCATCTACCTAACACTGTTCTCGATATTAAGAAAGGACAGACAGACAGACGGACGGAGGAAAGTGGGAATTTATAGGTCTACAATTTTTTTTTCAAATTGCATTCCAATTATTGAACATTTCCGCAATTTATTTACAAAATAGCATTGTTTATATTTATAACATAATCATTTTCTATAATTTATTAATGAATATTCAATTTTGAGCATTTTTGTGATTTTTTGATTGAAAATTTTCTTTAAATTAAAATATCGAATTGTTGATTCAAATCAATTTCTTGAAGTATTCTACTTTCCAACGTTTACAAAATTGTCAGGAAACATTAAAATTGCAGTCGAGAGTAAATGCGATTTTAGTTTCTAATTATTTTCGCTCGAAAGTTTAAAATTTCAACAAAAATGCCAAGCAACAAATATAAATTCTATTCTAAATCAAATAATTGGATTTTTAAAATTTTCGATATTTTTATTTATTTATTTATTTATTATTCATATTAACAATTTTAATGGATAATCCAATTCTCTTCTTTAATCTTTTATTGCTTATAATCGCATTAAGCATTATTGAGGGATTAAAGCCACAATTAGATTAAAATATAACATTAAATAGAATTTAAAAATTAAACATCTTAAGTATTAATAGAAGAAAATTCAATTAGTTTTTTTTTCTATTTCATTCTAAAAATTCACCACTAAAATTAATCTGTAAATCTACATTCTAACGAAATCAGAAAATATTCTTCCTCTTCTAACATTAAAAATTCGAAAAAAATTCTTTAAATTAAGTTTTTTTTTGTAGATAATAAAGCTTATATTTTATATAATAACGGCTATTAAAATACTTTTAAATAATATTATATATTTTTTATATTTAATATATAAAATAAACAAAGGATTTTAAAGTGTTTATAATTTAACAATTAAAAAAGATTCATAAAAAAATAAAAAAAATAAAAATTAATTATCAAATAGGAGATTTAAATCTCTCTCTCCTCTTTATCCTCATCCGAAACATTTGTTAATTCTCGGCATCTCTGGATATTTAATGAGAGTATCTTCGTAGAATATTTTAATGGGGAAGTCAAAGTGTCTATCCGTGCTATGCCAAATGACGTCATTATCCTCTAACAGTATGGCATATCACATGTCTGGCTAAAGTTATCGCATCGTCTTAGTGTTGCAGAATTGATTGTAGCATCTAGTTAAACTGCAAACTTTTATATAGCATATATATATTTTAAATGGTCTCGTTATAATTTTATAAAGTTTAAAAAATTTATTATATATTTAACGTCGAAACCGAACTTATCATTCAAATTTATCTCGAGTAATTTAATATATATTTTAAGATATATTAAAATTACACCTAAAAAATAATAGATTCTTATCATTAAGTACTCGTATAATTTTATTTTATTCCCTTCCTTGCAACAATTATCAAGTTACGTATAATAATAATACAGTGTCGATTGCTGTCCTCTGCATCTCCTGCAAGAAATTTAAAACTAAAGGGTATTAATTAGCGATTGGCTGTATTATTTTGTGGAAAGAAGGGGGGAAATAGAGGAATGTTTTTGGGGTGGAGAAAAGAAGAGTTCGGAGCTTTTCAGTGGGGTTGTCGGATCTTGGAACAGCTAATTGCAGGGACAGCGTGGCCGAGATAAGGGAGACACAGCCAACTTGTCTCTCCATTGTGCCAGGCCTGTAGCGGTGCAGCGATAAGGCGAATGTAGTATGGAGTCCTCCGGGGAATCTCTATTGTCGTCGACCAATGATGTGTAGAATGTGTTTAAAGGTAGCGAAAGGCAGCAACTGGATCGATGGCAACTCGGCTTTATAGCCTTCTACCCAACCTGCTGCCTGGCGGAAATTTCTAGACTCTTTCGATTGTTATACTTTTTGATATTTTCCATCCAAATCTGCCATTTTTATTTTTATATTTTTATAAAAACCTAAATTCTCTTCTCTTAACTTCATATAAAATTGATATTTCTCGAATTAGAAAATTGTTTATTGTTGAATATATAATTTGCCTTAATTTCGTAAACATTTTCTCCTTCCAAATTAATTAAATTAAATGTAACATCGTTCATTATTAACGCGTTTATAATGTAATTTACGAATAAGTAACCATTTTACGTATTTTACCACCATCTGGTGGAAGATTTCGGAAACGATTTTATATATTAAATATTTTAAAAAAATTCCTTAAAAAATTATTTATTTATTTATTTTATAAATATAAGTGGCTAGAAGATACGGGCCATTTATGTATTTTACATATTCTTTTAGCTATTAAGTTACTTTTTTAAAAATAAAATTTAATATTAGGGAAATCTGGGGATTATATGCGTGCGTTGGGAAAGGAAGATGGAGAGAGAAGGAGGGAAATTGAGAAAAATTGACGAGTGAAAATGTTTATTTTTATTGGAAGGAAAGAAGACGAGGAGTGATTTTTTCCCCATTACGTAGGGTAGAGAGAATAGAAAGCGATTGCCTTTCTCCGGCACCGCAATTCTCTCGAGAGTAGAATGCAGAGTAAAATGACGTCACCCCCTCCAGTAAGAGTGTATCTAAAACTGTGATTTGTAATAAGATATGGATGGAAACTGCGAATAATGACTTAGCACCGGTCTACTATACGGCAATGAATATTGATTTCTATATAAAATTAACTGGTCCGCTTATATACTTCATCACTACATTATAACTAGACCCTATATTCTTCTGTTAACATCCCAAGATGGTTGGTTATCTTTTTCTTTTATATATATATTATCTCGTCCGTCCATAACGCTCTACGAGATCGATATAACCGGACATAAATTTTATACTGTAATTATTTCATAAAGTAATAAAAATTTGAAACGTTCAATCGAAAATTCCTTGGATGGATAATATTTATTTCTGATGAGAATTATTATTTGATGCTTATTATGTAAAAGCTAAATGGGCTGCGGTCGAAGATTCTGCAATGGTTTCCAGTAATTGGTTATGACTTGAGGGATTTATGTCCGTAACAATAAACGACTCCAGAAATTTTTATAACTACTCTCCCAGGATGAAATTATATAACTTTATCTCAAAATTTACAACTTAATACACTTAGATAACTGTTATTATGTAATTTTAAATTACAAATTAACTTTTAGTAAATTTTTTTTTATATATTATAACACACGTCACGTTTTGAAATTCTGTATTTTATATCCGATTAGAATTAAGTCTGTAACAAAATAAAAATTATATTACTTGTATGTAAATGATATTCCATATTGATGAGACGGTTGCGAATTTAAAATTGAATTCGATTATCCGGATAAACTCGAGAAGTGGATAGATTGTCACTCAATCAAATTTACAAGAAAATAAATTCGGTTAGAATGAAATTTTCGAAAGATATGTTAACATTTCATTGAGTATATATATAGTTTTTCTATTTGCAATTTGTATTCAACAAACGAGGGATGAATTGTAGAAATTTCCAATTGTTATACAGTACCACGGATAAAGCGAAGATATACAAAGAATACTTCATTTTTTTAATAGAAATTATTTATATATTTTTATGTTATTGTTAAAGGACTGATTATTATATAAAACAATAAAGGATTTTTCATTTGCAGGACTTTTAAAACTTCAATACATATTTCAATTAAGCGCAGAGAACTACAAATTGGAGGTACCCGTGGTGAAGAAGATAAAAAATGCCACCGAAGCTAATGATTTTTTGCATTCAGTAGAGATAGCCGATCCCGTTAGTAGAAAATATGTAGTTTTGGACTGCAATGCCGCAACAGCCAGATCCGTTGTCATTAATCATGTCAGGGATATATACATGGGAAGGAGGAACTACCATTTTCTCTTTACCAATCTGGTAATACTATATTTGACAATAAGGAAAAACCTGCACTTTCTACTTACGTTATTGAAGTTTTGTTTTGTCTATAAAATCTCCATAACAAATATTATTTTCCTTTATTTTTGTAAATACCGATAATTTTACTTACATCTAGAATATACCTTTTTCCTTTTAAAATATTCTATTCGCTTTTAAAAATTTAATAATATATTAATTGATTTATTCTTTTAGTTAAAATGTTTATTTTTAAGGCGCTTTATTATTTTAAAGGTATTAAAAGAATTTTTGTCATTATTTTAAAATTCTTCCACGAGATGGCGCTACATATTTTTCGAAAATATCCTTTTTTTTCAGGTGATGGACGAATATTGGAATAACGAAGTGTTAGAATTTGGGGCTCTTAATATAACGGGATTTCGGATTTTGCAACCGTCTTCTTCGGAATTTAGGCATATTTTATCTACTTGGAAATTTCTGGATCCTTCCAGATGGCCAGGAGCGGGAACTAAATATATATCGGTAATTAAATATTATCTCCGAATCCTGCTTTCACTGCTTTGTATTATGAAACACTGCTTGATATCAAAGATTATTTTGCCGACGAGGCCTTATAATGCAGGAAATTTCAATGTAATAATTGTTTTGTACATTGGCAGGCCGACGTTGCTCTTATGTACGACAGTACAAAGGTGATTTTGGATGCGTACAATCGCCTGTTAAAAAGGAAGCCAGACATATTCCGTAACAATTTTCGAAGGGGCGAAGTATACAACAATGGCACCAAAGGGATCGACTGTAGGAGGCTCCCAGTTTTGGCGTGGGAACACGGAGAGAAGCTTGCAAGATATATGAAGAGGGTCTGATACTGTAATTTTTCTTCATCCCTTTCTACCATCATTCATTCAATTGTATATTGTTCGGTTCTCTTTGATAATTCTTATTTATAAATACAATTAATTTTAAAAAAACAATTAATTTATTAAACTATATAAAACTAAATTTATCATTAACAGACGGACATAAAAGGGTTAACAGGTAACATCTCGTTTGGGGAAGACGGACAAAGAAAAAATTTCTTCATAGACGTGGTGGAAATGAACATGAACAGCGAAATGGTTAAGGTAGGTAGCGCCATCTGGTGACACAAATTCCATTTAATTATATTTTTTAAAAATTTCAAAATTTACAACAGTTTATATACTCTGTATAAAAGCTACAATTAATTATTGTTTAATTATTTTTAATTATTAAAAGAATGGCGACAGTCGAGAGTTAATTTTAAGCATTAAAAAAGGAGAGAAGAGATCATTTATGTCATTCATATTTTAATAACATTTCCAGATGACAACTCTGTTAATCTGAATAAAGAAAAAAATAAAAAAAAAATAAATGAAATTCTGGGAAAGAAATAAAAGATAATGATCATTTACTTTCGTTTTGCTAAACTTTGACGATAATTGCTTTGATCTAATGAAGGTTTTTACGCACCGAAAACATCAACCCCGCTATAAACTACTTTTTTTTTTAAATATTTAAAAAATTCTTTCGAGATTTTCTGTTTTTTTTTTCAGATGATGATTTTTGGCCATGCAACTGTTTACAGGCGCCATATTTTTTACATTGCATTCGACAATCTCTTGTAAAGATATACAAAATTTGGCACTTTATCATCATTATTCTCAATCGTTAGAAACGTCTTCTCTTCAATTTTAAAAATTTATTTACGCGGATTTTCCGAAAAATTACGTACAGATAATTCGAAAAAATTCAAGAAAATTATCTACATTAATATTACATAAAATTGCTTAAAAATAAAAATAATAAAGTATTTAATTACATTCGATTTAATTAAATCTTGCTATCAAGTTTGAGTATTTTATTATTAATTTTATGTTAAATGACGAAGTAAATTTCAAAATTTAAAGTTATTCCTTCATATTATCAGGTGAAGGTATTAAAATTTCATTATTATCATTATCATTAGGGGGTAGAGTTTAGTCTGAAGAGTCTAGGATGAAGAAAGGAAGAGAGGGAATAAGAAAGAGGATGAATGAGAAATATAAAAATAAATAAGATATTTATTGAGAAATGTTTATATAATAATTGCAGTTACATAAAGTAACAGCTACACTATAAAGGTATGGCCTTATAGTGATTTGTATTGCCTCTATTACAACATAATGGAGGCAATACAAATTCTATGCTATAGAAATGAAATACGATTTTACTATTGTGATACATTCTACAATATAATTAAAATTAATAAAATTTTATTTAAGCTGGGAAGATGGACACCTTCCGGCGGATTAGTCTTAGATTCTTCAGTTTTTCTTCGTCAACCGAAGAGTAAAGAAATCAAAAATAAAACCTTTATCGTGACAAGTATCTTTGTAAGTTGACTTTTCGTGACGTTTACTTGGTGAAATTTCACTTAAAAATATATATATTTCACGGTTTATCGCAGGAAGAGCCTTATTTAATGTTAAAGAAAGCCGAAATCGGCGAAGAATTAATCGGAAACGATAGATTTGAAGGTTATTGTAAAGATTTAGCGGATTTAGTTGCCGAACATCTCGGTATCAAGTACGAGTTAAGGTTAGTAAACGATAGCAAATATGGAGGACAAGATCCAAATGCCGAAATGGGCTGGAACGGAATGGTTGGAGAACTTATACGACAAGTAAGTTACCATTTTATAAACCTAAATTACCAAAAATCGCCCCTTAAATACTCACCATAAAAACTGTGCGTGATGAATTCCATGCGTGAGGGGGGAAAATCGATATTTTAAATGCTATCTGCTCTACATAAATGTGGCTTGATAGAGATTAAAAAAATCTTGTCATGTTTATTTTTTTTGGCTTCTAACCAAAGAATATTCTCTTTTGGGATCTTCACTAAAAATTTCGTTATCCGAGAGATGTTGTTAGATAAAAAATCTTTTTATTAGTAAGATATCTCGACATCTCATGATACAAATCTTCAACATCTTTGATTCATCACAGAAAATCCTCTTTTCTCCTCTTTTTTCCTCCTAAATAATATAATTTCTGACACTACTAGAATTTTTTCTCCCTGTTTCTTTTCTTACGTCCGGATTATATTGTAAGTGCGAATAAAGAACGAAATTTTCTTCCATATCATATGATTCCATATTTTTATATATTTTTAATTATTAAAAGAATGGCGACAGTCGAGAGTTAATTTTAAGCATTAAAAAAGGAGAGAAGAGATCATTTATGTCATTCATATTTTAATAACATTTCCAGATGACAACTCTGTTAATCTGAATAAAGAAAAAAATAAAAAAAAAATAAATGAAATTCTGGGAAAGAAATAAAAGATAATGATCATTTACTTTCGTTTTGCTAAACTTTGACGATAATTGCTTTGATCTAATGAAGGTTTTTACGCACCGAAAACATCAACCCCGCTATAAACTACTTTTTTTTTAAATATTTAAAAAATTCTTTCGAGATTTTCTGTTTTTTTTTCAGATGATGATTTTTGNGTTTCTTTTCTTACGTCCGGATTATATTGTAAGTGCGAATAAAGAACGAAATTTTCTTCCATATCATATGATTCCATATTTTTATATATTTTTAATTATTAAATCATATAATTTGGAGGAAATTTAAATATTCAAAGTAAATTCAGGAATATTTTATAATTTTATCTTTAAAAATTATAGATATAGGCCTACATTGTTTACTACTTTCCTGGCTATTATACATAACAGAGGGAAATAGACGATTTTGTTTACCCTCTTTGGAGCTTAATAAATTCTGTGTTTTTTGTCGAAATTTTCTGAAATTTTGCAAGGTAGTTTATGTATTAGAAGGATTGATGCTTTTAAATTTTAGTGATTAAAGGTCGAGGGGGATGAAAAGATAGAGAGGTTCGTATCATAACTCGAGTATGGTCTGACTTAATGACGATTTTACTCGTTATTATTATTATTTACAATTTTTTTACAAAACCCATCCATATCCTCAAAATTAGATTTTTCTTGTCATTTTATAATAATTAAAAACACAAAAAAAGTTATTTTTAATAAAATATCGTAACAGATGGCGCCATCAAATGTTTCCGGGAAAGTTAAACAACTCGATTGCTGGATTTAATTTTTTCACTGAAGCTGTAGTGAAATCGCTGATAATTCATATACACGTATATCTTAATTAACGTAAGGGACAAGTAAAATGAAATTTCTTGAAGTAATTCACTTACTCCAAAGTGAATAATAGATAAATAAGTATTATCTGAGTTATTATATGTTTTGCTCCCAACATAATAATCCACCATTCTGAAATCATGAACCACATTAACTATCGTAAACGGAGAAAATAATGGATTCGATATTCTTTTACGATACCGTTACCACGATTTTCCAGGTATATATATTTTTTTAATATGAAATAGAAAAATATAACATTAAAGAAAGTAAATCCGAAAAGATTATTTTCGTCATCCATTAAAAAAGCGAACTTTTCCTTGTTTAAAAGAGAGATTTCTTTCATCTTGGTCGAACAATGCAATTTATTTCTTAAAAAACATCCTTTATTCTTCACTATTGTGGCAAAACTTTTCTTTGGACATATTTTTGAAAGACTCGTATCGATAAGTAATCGAGAAGTTGAATAATTAATTATTAATTTCATTCGATATTGTAATTAAAACATTAACGCCTCGATGTGTGCATTATATAATTACTAACGATCTATCATCGTTCGATTTTACTAACAAATTTTAAATTCTTAAAATAAATTTTATATGCAAAGTTCGACATCACATAAGATTTATTATAGATATTTGATTAAATTAGTTGAAAATTTATATACCAAGGCAAGGTCTTTCTCTATTTTTAGCGTTTAAAATTACGACTGTTTTAAAGTAAGTATCGTGAAATTCGATGCAAAATTTATAATCGGTAATAAAAACTAATTAACGTTTTTTACATCTTGCTCTTCTCTGAACACTAGCTTGGTCGCGGGTTCGTCCTTCACCAACGGCTGAAATACGTGGAGTTTTTCCGTGTTTTATTAGCGTGTTTGACACCCAAGTAAGGGGCCATTTCTCCTAGAAAGCACCCCCTTTCAGGAGATTTATTTACGGCCAAAAACACCTAGGCTTTAAAAGATTTTCAGGCTCCCTCCAGCACTTCAATTTCTCACTCACACTACAACTGATATCCTGCCCTGGAACGATAGGTATTAGACTGCAGTACACAGTCCTATTTTTGTATATTTTTGTAAAACATTATTAGTTTTTCTATTACCATTTCTTTAATATCTTTGCTTAGGGCCCTGGAAACTGGGCCCTATTGTGCCTATTGTATTTAATGGTTAAAATGGCCTGCCCCTTCGGAAAATTGACCATGTGTTGCGTTGCGATATCCCATCAATTCAATTCAATCCAATGCGCTCTTTCTTCTCTGAAATTTGTGCATACAACTATACATCAGTTCTTAATATGTGTGTTTCTCACTACCAAACCAATAAATGCAACCCTAAAAAATTCTCATAAATATTATTTTGATTAGTTAATTAATGCGTACGTTATTCTCTAAAGCAGAAAAAGCTAAATTTTCTATATTATCTGTAATTAATTCTTATGTTCAGTGCAGATTTCGACAATTCAGTTGAAGTCTGTTTATCTAAATAATTCTTACAAATTGATATATTATCTGATATTGTCTTACTTGCCATGGGAATCGTCTATATCTCTTATCGACAAATTTTATGTAGAATTAAATTTATTAAAAAATTTTTTTATTGATCCTAAACTGCTGTGCCCAATATACTTCGTGATTTTTTTCTCTATATTTCTCTTTTGTCTATGATTTTTATCATACAGTGAGTTGTTTACCGATGTTTATATCACGAAAGAGATTCTTACGAGTGAATTTCGATTAAGAAGTATTGTATTTGTTTGCATGTACGATTGTATCCATGCAAATAATTTTACTATTTCTCTCTCTATATTATTCTACTGTATACAATGTAATGAAAGACAATTTGTGTTATTTTTTGTAATAATTTTTGAGAGATTACTTTAGTCAATAAAGTAACATACTTTTCGAAGGAACCATTTCATTATATATGTGTATATATATATATATAGTAGGCACCCTAATAAAAATTGTAAGTATATATATATATATTTATTTACAATTTTTATTAGGGTGCCTACTCAAAGGTTTGGCCTAAAGAAGATAACAAAATATATACGATATTTGTTAAGAAATGTTAACTATAAAGTACGTTACAGTAATGCATAGTAGTTGTAATTATATAAAGTAACAGCTATTCACTATGTAATGGCTATTCACAGTATAGTGAATAGCTGTTATGTCCTTATGGGACATAGTGAGAAAGTATAGTGAAGAGTTCTAATGAGTTTGTAATCAGTTTTATATTATTATTTAATATTATATATTTTAAATCGATAACAGTTTTCACTCCAGCAACAATTTAAATTAAAAAGAATTTTGGATGATTATCAAATTACATTAAAAAATTTAATTATAAACATAAATAGATTACTAAAACGAGTGGAAACGATTTAAAAGTATATAAAAAGAAAATTGCGAGCGATGAATATCAAATCAAGTCGAATTTGCCAAAAGATGTGGTTAGCATATTATTGTTTGAATAATTTATTATTTTCAGCAACGTTTAATCTCTTATTTTTTTCTACTTATTTTCCAGTAGTCACTTCGCACTCTTAGAGGAATTAACTAAGTTATTATTATTCGAGGAAATCTAAAGAAATTCACTTTTTTGCATTTACTTAAACTAATTTATTAACGTTTAGCATTAAAAATAAAGCAAATGCATTAGTCGAGTCTCGAAAAAAATTGGAACAAATTCTATTCCCTGTTACATTTAATGATATTATTCAAAAATTACAATGGCAAAGTTACGAAGGGAATGAAATATACTTAAAATATATATTTTATATAATTTTTTTTATAATTTATAATAATAAAATATACATTTTNACATGTTTTTCATGAAGCCAGCTGCCAAAAAACAAAGGATGGAACAAGAGAAGTTCACCCTGCAAGCTCTGGTAGCCTCTCCTGAATCTGACTTCGTTTAAAAAACAATAAAAAGAGGCCTGCTGCAATATTCAAAAAGTCTGTATCTGTATGAATGTGTGAAGAAAGTGTTCCTCCACCTCCTTCCTCAGAACATCTGACTACCTGGCATAATTGGTGACTGCTCCATTTTCAATCTTTTTATGGTACAGTGTGAATACTGTATTTTATGCTGTGGAACAAATTATGTTTTAACGTGTATTTCTATGGGAAAATGCGTTTTGTATAACGGACTTTTCACTTAACGGATGTGCACCTGGAATGGATTAAGTACATTATACGAGGCACTACTATATATTAATTTTAAGCTGGGCCATCACATTGGAAGTAACTGGTTTTCATATATATAAGCAAAAATTGGAATTCAGAAATTATTACATTTTGAGTATGGAATTGATAAAATTCATTTAATAATCTTAACAATGGAAGATATTTCCACCATAAGTTAAATACACCAATTTTTCTGAACGATAAATGCTCAAATTCAAAGCCTAACCAAATTGAGTAAGTTAAATTATATTTTTGCAACAGTGAAAACTTACAAGTTTATATTTCAGATTTAAGACAACATAGCAAATTATTATGAGATGACATAATTCTTTACAAAAAATATGATAAAAGAAAGTTTATAGTTCTATAAAGCTTGTATAGTTTTAAA